GCACTCTCTCAAATGAGATGTGAATCAAGACTTTCTAGACAATCATTCAGAAAGAGCCGGATACATTTTAAAACGCTGTTTTTCATAGAAATCGAAAAAATAGCACAAATTTCATCGCGAATTTTACCAAAAAGCTCATTGTTCGCAAACGGTTTGCTGGAAAATGATAGTTTGTATATCGTTTTGTAGAGAAATGTTTGCGCTTCCTTTTGGTGTATTGGTAATCATTTTTGCTTCTAGTTTGTGTGATTTTCCGCGCACTGATCCTCGTCCAGACTTCATTTGTGGGTCTTTCAAAGATTGACTTATAACTTGTAAACCAGACATCCGACAAAAATTCTGAGCTCACATTCGAAATGAGCATAAAATTTTGCTTCTAACTTGATACTTATTCATTTCTTTAGACTCATTTAAACGATTGAAAAATGAGCGAACATTTTGTCCAAAAACTTTTCGATCATACGTTATTTAATCATGGTAATCGGTTCATAATTAGGGGTGTCACACTTACCACTTACCATCACTTCCACTTACCAGGTAAGTAGTAAGTGTTTTAGTGATGTAAAAATGATCGGTATAATACTAATTAATTGTTATTTGATTCATTGATTATTTGTTCTAGCATAGTAATCTTCACCACTTACCACTTACTACTTCCTGGTAAATGGTAAGTAGTGACCAGTTACCACTTTCTAGTAAGTGGTAAGTGGTGAAGATCACTACGTGATAATGAATAATTCATAATTAGGATATTCGTTTATCAGTGCTATGTCTGTAATTTTCTAATAAATAAAACACTTACCACTTCCCTGGTAAGTGGAAGTGGTGGTAAGTGGTAAGTGTGATACTCCTAATTGCCTATGTGAACATGACGTACATTCAATTTGACAAAGAGTTGATATAATAAAATAGCCAGCTTACCTTCAGTTAAATACAAATCATTTACTTGGGAGTGATATTTATCTTTTATCTACTAAGTAATTAGCAATAGTAGGAGTGTTACACTTACCACTTACCAGGTAAGTGGTAAGTATTTTAATTATTAGAAAATTACTGATATAGCACTGATAAACGAACATCCTAATTATGAATTATTCATTATTACGTAGTGATCTTCACCACTTACTACTTACCAGCAAGTGGTAAGTGGTACCACTTACCACTTACCAGGATGGTAAGTGGAATATGACACCCCTATTCATAATATCTTTTTTCAAATCATTGCCATTAATGAATGATGTGTAACGGTCGAGCTGGAGAAACAAAGTTAATCTTTCAAGAGTTGACATTCGATGTAAAAGCGGCAAGATCATTTCATCATTATCATCTGTTTCACAATGAGAACTTAACGAAAAACATTTTAAATTAGGTAATTCTTTCTAGAAAAATAAAATCATATGTAATTAAAATTATTTCAATAAAATAGATACTTGTTTAAATACATAATGATTCTGGCCTATTAATCTTGGATTCATTATGATAGAAATATAGACATAAAATGAACGAAGTTAATTGAAACGAGCCACATTTATATGAAATTCGATTAGAGTTGAAGAAGAAAAAGTCACAAGTGCTGACATATTCGAAAACTTTTCAATGTGTAAACGTGTAAAGTTATCCAAATTTAAATAAACCAGATTTTTGAATACAGTAAATATACGAGCATACATACTAAATGTCACCTTTTCGTTGAATACTTCTTCATTTTCATTCAGTGTCATAACAAGTTTCGAGATCTGTTTTTTGAAGATGTGTGCTAAATTAGATTTATCTAAAACCAATTCAGAAAACACGTCTAACTATAGAATTAATCAATGGTAATTAAAAATGTAATCAACGTTTCACTGTAGGTCGAACAGTGTACTGGTCTAGACATATGTACGTATTGACTAATAGTGAATACAATGCACTCAAGATAAAATTTCGATGATGTTAGATTTAAAATAGACCTTATGTTGTTCACAGGAAAACTATTTCTTGAAAAGAATAATTTTTTTATACAATTCTACGAAAAGCTTCTGAAATTGAGAACACTTAATCTTTAGATAGTGTTTTGAAATTCTCAAGCATGATTTTCTTGTTTAAAGAATGGTTATTTCCTACGATTCAGAGTCCAATTCTATAAACTTTAATTGATCTATTGAAATAAACTTTTTTCAACCAAAACACAAATTCCAAATCGAGCATTTTGATCATCATCTATAGATTCAAATATCTCGATGTCAGAAACCTGTTGTCAAGTTTTTAAGTCGTTATTTTTCAGAAAGTCTTCATTGGGTTAAAATACTTCTAAATGAAATCTAAGATTATCTAAGTTTTATTAGATGTTCATTGTTAGCTAATGCGTGCATATCTAGATCGGTGCAACGTCACTATTGTAAAAACAATATTTTTTGTTGCATTATGTATAATACCGAGCGCCTAACTCGAATTCAAATGGTGCTTTCAATAGTCAATGAAGCTTTATATGAAATGTATTATATTAATAAAATTTCAAAATAAACAATCCGAGAAGACAGACTTCTAAAGAATCTCACAAGATAGGAATTCAAATCCGATTGTATTTGGGTGCTATTGGGTGTGCATGGGTGTGAGTGTGACGAAAATATTACTCACACCCACATCCTCCACACTCACACCCCACACCCACACTCGCCCATACCCACACCACCCACACCCTCGCACATCCAAAACTGTCAAAAGCATACACAAAACCAATATCTCAGAATCGAGAGTTCTGGCTTAGGTGGATGCCTAATTACTACTGGAAACTGACTAGAAAAGGCAGAAGTCGCAGTTAAACGGGGCACACAAATCCGTTGACGTGAAAATCGAAAGAATCGAACAGGTCCTAGTTGTCGAGAAGTGTCAGAGCTGACTGAAAAATTCCGACGATTTTCACACTCGAATCCTGTGGCTAGGAACCACAAAATCCCGATGAAATGTGTTCGTTTTCTGTCGAGAAACCAGCCGGTTTCTGTATGTTTCTGACGCTTGTTTTGAACGGTTCCATGACGACTCTAATTCCTGGAATGCTCGACCCCTGGGTTGGGCTCTTGGTCTCTCATTCATACATACCTTCGTGGACAAGTGAAAAGAACAATTTTCTTATCTTTAGTTTTTTTCTCCACGGGCAAAGTACACATAAAACTGCACTCAACGAGTTTACTTCATTCTTTCATATATGCTATTAAAGAGCTCTTTGAAATTTATTTAATTTATTTAAGAAAAAAAAGCATAGTATAGTAAGTTTCATGCATAAACATGTAAGAAATATTTTACGTTTACGACCAAAGTCTTGTCATAAATAATACATTATCATTAGAACACTGTTCCCATGTTTTGAAAATTTTTTTATCTATATAATTATGCAAAGCAAAAAATAGAGGTGATGCAGGTGAATCGAAACTTTTAAATACGCCACCAATTGCATTATGAAGATTACCATGATATTCCAATGTCTTTTTATGTAAAGTGTAAAGATCTTGTTTACATATGTTATTCGCGTTTAGCTCAATAGGTAGGCTGACATTAATTTCGGTTTGAGCAAATGGTACATCCAACCACCCATCAATGCACAATGCAGATGAGAGACAAGCATGGGGTGAAAATTTTACTCCTTGCAATACAAATGGAATTTTCCGTTGAATTTCGGGAGACCAGATTGGTAGGGGAAGAGATTTTTTCGCCAATAATTTTTCAACACAAGCCAAATAACGTCGATGCCCATAGAAGAATGACAATGGATCACAATGTTGAATGCGGTTATGATTAACCACACGGTCATAATCAATAATATTTTCTATTATTTCAGCTAAAAACAATTGCTGTGTTAAGTCATCGAAATCGCTGATGCCTTTTGATTCCGGTATGATATCGCTGGCAGTTATTTCGCAGAAAAATTTATTATCGAGTCGTATATCAGGCGATAAACAATTATTGGCTAATGACGACCATTTAGTGTGAAACCGATTACCTCTATGTGGTAATACGAGTTTTCCTTCAAGCTTCTTGTTATCACTAGTGTCGTGCTTCTGAATATTTCTTTTGTCGATGCTTTTGCTTAGTTCTGAACTTTTTATGAATAAACACCAGTATAATTTATTCCCAATAAAATGTGGTTTATTTACATTGACATGTAGTTGTTGATGACAGTTTTCCTCATATTTATATTTGGCATTAACACTAATTATAACAATAGAGTCACATGTTGGTCGAGAAATAGGCTGAGAAATGTTTTTTATTTGTTGAGTAAAATTCGCACATGGATCATTGCAACTCTTCTTAAACTTTTCGTTAAACATAAAACGTAAATGGTTATCAGATTCAAGGGCATGAAACGCTTCTAACATTGACGCATTTATGTAAGAGAAACAGTCTCCATAGTCCAGTTCTGAATAACCAAGATTGTTATTATCGTTCTGTCTGCTCTGATCAAACTGAATTTTCAACCATTGCAATATTTCTTTAGTATTATTGTCTAACGAATTTGTAGATTCGGATGTTGTTTTCATAGTTGATTCTGTTTCATAATTATGAGTGTTGCCTTGCTCATCTTGACCACTATCATCCATTTCGTCTTGGCCACTATTATCAATTTCGTCTTGATCACTATTATCAATTTTTTGAAAGCCTCGATTTTGTACTAATTTAGATTCAGCTCTGATTAAGCTCATCAGTTTGTTTACGTCTATTTTCCGATGATTTAGCTGATGTTCCACTGATGTTTCCACATTATCGAGCGAATCACTTTGAGGCACTCTGCTATGTTTTGCGAAAACCAATGAAAGGAAAAGTATTGCAACGATCCATCGTTGTAATGTTAGGCTATTCATCTACAAAGAAAAACACTTTTGTTAATCCACATAAGTGCGATTACTGAGAAAACAATTATGGGAACTAAATATTATTTTTCGATATTTACTGATTTTTGCTGTTTTGTGTTTGGATTAATTGAACACTTCTATTATCAGACTATAAAAAAAGAAATATTTTTTCAAACATAATAGTGGAGCATGAACCCCATATTTTATTTTATTTCGACGTTACTGCTGAATATAAATAAAAAATTATAAATTAGTACACACAATCATCCCTTCCATGATTTCAAATAAGGTCAATAGGTAAAGCGTTCTCACATCAACGGATGTGAAAACTTATAGTTTAACTAATTGTGTTGCTTTTTTTTTATAGCATTTTCCTTTTGTGAGCCTGATCTTTTCATATTGTTTATGATAACTTGTTCAATACCTATTACCGAATTCTATCAGTTTTCATCACCTCTGGGCCAATAATTTGTGCTAAATAAGAATTATCAAAATCAGATTTTGACTATCAGCTGGAGCAATCGACAAATTATCGATTTTTACAAATTTCATATAGCTGAATGTAGGCTTTTATATTTTCCTACAAGCTGATATTTTTTCGTCTGCCTGTCACTCTAGTTCTCAAGAGAAATCGAGTCTCAAAGTATGCCAAACTCTATTCAAAGAACAGCTAATTTATAGTACAAAAATCAGAATTTTTTAATAAGTCTCTTATGTTTTTTAGAAGTTTTTATTTATAGGCGTACTTGACATTATTGTCTGCAAAAAACATATCAAGTGTAAAGTGTGATATGTCGACTAATGAAACATTTTAAATTGAAATGACTCTAAGCACATCATTTTTGAGCATATTTTGTTGTCTATTCTCAATATTACTATCAAATTTCTTAAACATGTCCTCATTTTGTGACGAATAATGAGACAGGATCTGTAGGCATAAAACTGTGTTCCGAAAAAGTATTCGTATTTTGTATGTAAAAATGAGTTTTCGGTCATGCTCCATAGCATATTTCTAGTGGAGAGATCCCATGGGATATCAACCACAAAGTACACAAAGTTCTACAAAAGAATCCGAATACAGTCTATCTTGTAGTTTTTTTTTTGTGCTAATCATTTTGGTAAAATGAATCTTGTGAGTCGACACAGAAATGAAGATTTTAGAGTTGTGATGCTGAAAAGTGATCTAAAAGGAGTGTTGAAGCTTATAGATAGAGATTTGCATCGATTCGCCGATCTCCCTCACAGACCGTGGCAGCCGTTCTTGATATATCATGAAAGATCACATATCACGAAAATCTCGTTAGAATATATGAATTACTTTCTTATTGAAATTCTCCAGAATTGAATAAACGATGATGAAGAAATGTGTTCCAAAATATGAGGAGGTACCGGTACATATTATTTTCGGATTATTAAGACTTATTAATGATGATGACACTTTAGGATAAGTACACCAACATCAGCACTCACACCTACAACTACTTCCTGTATGTACTGATGAACCGTATGAGATTCATCTCGAGATGCTTAGAGGCTTCTTGAAAAGTCCCAATAAATCTCGAAAAAATAAGTCCCGGTAGTTGCTGCAAAATTTCTCAAATAAAAGAATTTTCATCTAATTAGCAGCAACATCAACATCTTCTTTCACATTTTAATCCGGCAGCGATTACTCTAACAGCTCTTGACTCTAGAATCCTCATTTCTGTGTTGACCCACAAAATCTATTTTTACTAACGCAAAAAAACAATTACAAGATATACTGTATTCGGATTCTTGTGAAAAACTTTGTGTACTTTGTGGTTGATATCCCATGGGATCTCTCAAGTAGAAATATCCTATGAAGCATGACCAAAAACTTATTTTTACATACAAATACGAATACTTTCTCGGAACAAAGTTTTATGCCTACAGATCCTGTCTCATTATTCGTCACAAAATGAGGACATGTTTAAGAAATTTGATAGTAATATTGAGAATAGACAACAAAATATGCTCAAAAATGATGTGCTTAGAGTCATTTCAATTTAAAATGTTTCATTAGTCGGCATATCACACTTTACATTTGATTTATTCTTGCGGACAATAATGTGAAGTACACTTATAAATGAAAAGTCCCAGAAACATAAGGGACTTATTAAAAAATTCTGATTTTTGTACTATAAGTTAGCGGCTCTCTGAACAGAATTTGGCATACTTTGAGACTCGGTTACTCTTGAGAACTAGAGTGACAATCAGACGAAAAAATATCAGCTTGTAGGAAAATATAAAAGCTTATATTCAGTTATATTAAATTTGTAAAAATCGATAATTTTATCGATTGCTCCAGCTAGTAGTCAAAATCAGATTTCGATAATTCTTATTTAGCACAAATTATTGGCCCAGAGATGAAAAAGACTATAATAGAATTCAGTAATAGTTATCGTTTCCCGATTTCTTTCTGTACAAACTCTTCATAAGATGCGCACTTAAGAAGTGAAAAACTGTTAAGGAAAACGTTTAGCAATTGAATAGCATTGGCGCTTCTATCTCTGTGCTTTTTCTCGCATATATTATTAAACTTTCTCCCACCTATGCACGGTTTGACAATCGATTTAATGCTAAATACAACTAAAAAGTTTTTCCAGACGTAAAGACGGGTTAATATTAAATATGATAAAATATTTTAAACGACTGCGACAACATTTTGAAATTGAATCTGTTAGTATATATAAAATTTTAGTCAAATGTTACTTTCATTGTATTGCGCTCAGTTCACTCATAATTTCGTTTAACAGCAATAAATGATGCGACTTCCCCAGCAGGATGATCACCATGTGGTAATGTTCGTATAACTGAGCCAACTATTGAAGGCCGTTGGTCGATACCATTAGGCCACTGTGGCACCAAGAATCCAATGTAATCATACGTAAAATTTTTTATATTAGGAGTGCTGCCAATACCTTGGAATCTTAGCGTAAATGGATAGCCGTAGTGAATAGAACCCTGAAGTGACATGATATCAGCATTGTCTGAAAATATCAGACGACCTTGTAAAATGCCAATATTCCTAGAATCAGTGATTTCAAGTGTTGCAAGAGCAAAATATAAATCATTAAATGAAAGAGTTTCATCGGGATGGTTCATAAATGATCGATATGTCCAATTTCCATACACATCAGGAGAAACTTTGACTGGAACGAATTTCTTTCTATCTTCATTGGCTTTGTAAATAGTATTACCAGATAATATCGATTGTATAAATTGAGCCATGCTACCACTGTCGCTGAATTGTGCATCAATATTTTTTAATAATAAAAGCGAATAAAATGAGAGAAAAATAGATACTGGTTTATCACCAAGTAACATTCTTTAAAATGCTATCTAGAAAACTGAGAATAATTCTGAAATATATTTAAGACGTTTGTAATGAAATGTATCAGGGGCATCACAGTTAGATATCTGAATGAAACAAATTTTGAAGTGTGGTGGGTCGATGTTGATACGGATGTGAAGTGTACGATGTGGATGTAAGTGTCAGTGTGGATGTGGGTGACAGTGCGAGGTGTGGAAGTGAGTGTTGATGATGGTTTTCTTCTTTAACACTCATATCGACCCTTTCTTGGAGAATTAGTGAGAAACGAAATAGGAATTGTAAAAAAGTTGAGGAGAAAGATTTGTTCAAAATTTAGAAAAACTCAATTCAAAATGGTGTTGACATTCAATAAATTGAATACTGGAAAAAATTATAATATTTTATTAATAGAGAACGTCATTCAACCAGCGAAAAAGACGATAATAGGATGAAAATATAAATTATAGTGCTTTTTAATATTGCATTGGCGATAAGAAACATTTATTCTATATATTTTTATGAGCAAAAAGTTGTATTGGGTCGTGCAAAAAAACTTTCTCCATAATATGAGCTACATACCTTTCCTACAGTTAGGGCTGGAGTTATGAAAATTTAGGGTACTCTTTATCTAGTTTCAAAATATTGTCCGTACTACTTTGAGCCTTTTCAAATCAGTCATAAGATAGGAAAAGAAATTTTTCTATCATTTAATGAAAATTCGGGCTCACTCTGTAAAAAATATGAGAAAGTAGCGAGCCTCATTCAAAAGAAAAAAGAACGAAGACAAGATGCTTGTGTTGTAATCAATAAGCTGTTGAGGAGAACTGTTGCTATATAATTTTACCGTCTCAGGTGAAAAACACGAGTATAGTTAACACAGGAGCATACCGTAACAAAAAGAGACAACAGATCATTAGTCTATACATTGATACAGTCAACAGATTACGCTATGGATAGCTCTGTTTTTCTCTGAATAGATGTTTCGAATGGGGACTGGTTAGATAAAAATTTTTTGATATCTATTTATCATAAAATCGAGCGTTCAAAGCATGTATTCGGTTAGATATTCATAAGGCTAATCTTGTGCAACACTCTGAATCTATTTGATACTTTCGTTCTTATTCTGGGAGCAAGACCACATTTCAACATAAAAACCCATGCAGTGTCAATTGAAAAGTAGCGCTTCGATAATTATTTTCTCATAATTTTCCTCCATCGTGTTCAATTTGTTTTGTGGCCCAGCTTAGTTTTTATCGAATCTAGAAAAAGTATTTTTACTAGAAATAAATTTTATTCAGATTATATATTGAGCTGTAGTTTAACGACCAACTTCTTGGAACTCGATTGAGATCCGATCGGATTCAGTGGTCGGAATTCAGCATACTACGCCACATCCGAAAGAATCCGATGGCCGACTTTTGATTTGGATAGATAAGTTTTAACTAATCGGAATTTTTGACAAAAATATCGCCAATCATCACAATTCTATCGCGATATAATCTCATAACTATTCTGTGTCATAAGTCGCAATCAAGTCGTCCATTGCCCATGATTCTCGCCACATAGAAATTAAAACGATCTAAAAAACATCAAACCTGCCGATTCAGAAGGTCCATATATGTGCACGTATGATGAGAAAAGAAAAAAACTGCATTCATTTTTTCAGCTATTTGTCACGTTTCATAACCAAGTCTATGTACAGGTAAGAGATTGGTGCCTGATTAAGGCTGTATAAATATGTGCACATCAACCTTGATGTTTTCAGTGTGTTTTGACAATCACACCGTTTTTTTTTTCATCCATAAATGGTTAATTATATGTTGATTTTAATCAAAGAATATCTAGAAAAACAATCTCCATTTTTAATGCAGGCTATGTACAATGATGACAGGTAGAAAAAAAAACGATTGATTAATAAAATCTTTCATGCATGTCCAATTTCAAAGTTGGGTTCACTTCAGGATTCAAGGTTAACACTACTACATGACAACGAACAAATGCTCAGAATAAGTTATATTCAATCGTCGGATACAAATGTAAAGCCTTTTAACTGATTGTGCCTTTTAATCATTGACTCATCGAAGAGATCATACTCAATAAATTGATCTCATATGATTGCCAATGGCTAATTGAATGCGTGTCGCTATATATCGTACACCATTCGTGCACCACACACCGTACACATGAGGAATGTAAAGAAACGTAATATACACAAATCATACTGTCACATGTACACGGTGTCATGTATTATGAAGTATCAGTATACTCAAGCAAATTACTTATTGGTCTATTTTTTCTGTATCAATAGGTTTTCAAATGCTTCATTATATTAATAAACTTTAAGAGAAAATTCAAAATTTTTGTTCTCTAATTTTTTTCTCTTACCGTAATAAGTTACAAAGAATCTAATTTATCATGAGCTTTTAAAAGATAATACCAAAGTTGTCGGCACAAAGCAGAGAAAGATCAGAAAACAAGCAAAAATAAATAGAGATAACGACAACAAAAATAACAACTGAAGAAAGAATAATGCATCAAAATAAATAAATGTACATCAGCAAAATTCAGGCAATCAAAATGAACAGTTCGTAAAAAAATGATACCTAAATCAAATAGAAAAGTGAAATCATCAGGAACATTTAACCACTTTTTTCATGTTCTTGAATAAGTAGTTTTAACCGAAAGTAGAAGACGAATGGTGTGTTTCAGATAAAACTAGAAAAACATACTATTTTTGTTTTTGACGATTGCAAAAGGCCGTTTTCTGCCCATTGATTGTTCTTTTTTCCTTGTTTGTGCCAAAATATCTCACATTCGATAGGTTTGTCTTTAAAATAGGTTTCTTTGATAACTTGTAGACAAAAAGAAGATATTTGTTTCTGGTATATTGTTATTCAAAAAGATAATACCATATAAAATCCTAACTTTCATTGCTGAAACTTACAAATATTTGAACGAAATAATGCTTAGTGCTGTACTATCAAGACGACTATACACTGTTAAAAAAATGGATGAAAAGTTTGGCCGAAGGTGTGAACCAGGCTTTCGCTCGCACGTATCACCCGAAGCCAAAGAAATTATATTGTTTCAATTGGTAAAAATATTGCCCATGTTTATTATTCGTTTTGTGCGCGCGCCCAATGCACAGATTATTGCAGAGAAGCCTTGGATTTTGATTGATTGGGCCACTACGTCCTGGGAACGCTAAGAGAAGGTGTTTCTTTTGTGCTCATAAATTTGCGCTTTTTTGTTGTCTTTAGTTCATATTTTCCATTAATGAAAAGCATGTACTTTGTTGCACAAAGTGATATCTAGACGACTCCTAAAGAATGTGCATCAGTGATTTCATACGAACCTGATAGCCTAACAGCTTGCCTGACGACGTCGAATTTCTGATTTTGGGCTGATATATCTATCATGTGGGTGAGTCTGTGTTGACGAGAGTAGGTGCATGGTGAAGAGTAAATCCACACCTTTAAGCAGATTCTTCGATATTTTTGATGATTCTTTTATACTGTATTTTTTCATTTCGCTTCTGGTTTTAGTTCAAACCTCGAATTCAATCTACGTTCTTTGCTCAGTGTTAAAAATAACACAAAAGAGCCGGTTTAACATATTTTTAAAGCTACCCGTGCTAATTAAATAGCTGTTCTAGAAGAATATGTGAAATATGATCAATCCTAGACATGCACCGAAATGAAACGTAAGTCGAAATTGTTTGGGAATTTGAGTTTGTTTCTATGATTTTGGCTTTAGATTAGGCTTTGGTATTGAATTAGGGATTGAATTTGCTGCATGTCTTCACTAAACAATTTGAGTTTGGGTAGTTTTCTAATCGCATCATTCATCTATAATTCGGCGAGTGTGAGTATGAATCTGGGTTGAGAACAAGACATTCAAAGTCACATCGGATGTACCAAATTATTATTGATGTGAAGTTAACGACGACGTCTACCATCTGACAGTCAATGAAATCTGCTGCACTATGGAAGATGATTACCAATTGAATTGGTTGAGTGGCTAATGATTGATTGCACGTAGTGCGTAGAAATATAGATTGCCGAAAAATAAAAATGTTAAAAGTCAAAACACAGAAGAACAATGTCGAAAGTCATAGTATGCCACACGAAAGTGCACTATTTAATCAAGGTGTTCATCTGCGACTGGATCCACACATATTCCAACATCTTTCGATTTTCACTTTTCCACTCTTCAAGGTAACAACTAATTAACATAGTGTTTCGACATAGGGTTAATGGAGATTACTCTTTTAATAAGAACTATTTTCACCCTTCTTCTTGTAGCAAACAATCGTTCTCAAAAATTCTTAGAATGTGTAAATGAAGAATAAGATAATTCGAACTTAGAGCAAACAGAGATTTACATACAAAGTGATCTTCAATTATAGGATGTTGATGTGGTCAAGAGAAGCCAGTAGGATATTACCAAAAGAATTTTTCTGCTTTTTCTTAAGAAGCGTGGTGTTAAAATAGTCGCTGCGTTCAAGCGTTGCTTTTAGGATTTCTGAATTTCAAACATCTTTACCTGCACTTAGCCGGGCAAAGTCTCCCACACAAAAGTCTTCACCATTTTCGACAATGTGCACTTATTGTGAGACTGTATGTAAACTTGGCAATTTAACGAATTAATGATTATTTTATAAAAGTGTACAGCACGATCATATGTATTTCTCAGCTATCTATAACAATTATATTCAACAAAATGATTATTCACAATTTACATTGCTGATCATTCTCTATGGTCATTATCATACATGTAGCTAGATCAATTTCTAGCAAATCCAAGACCCCATGTTTCTCAGCTATTGATTCTCTATCAGTTGAGATACTGCTTGATATATTCGAATGAAAAATAATGGATACAGTCAATAAACAATAAACTAGAGTCAATATCACAGTATGGACAATGTCTAAATTTTCAAAATACTACTAGATGCTAGGAAAGGTTTTTCAACCATTTTCTCAAAGTGCTAACACCAATTTTGGCAGACAAC